AAAGAAAGAAAGAAAGAAAGAAAGAAAGAAATAGTATTATTGCTTAAGTTCTCTTTATTTCAGCATGTAAATTATCGACATACAACATCATAGTCATGTGGGAAAAAATGGTAATGCAATGAAAAATTGGTAATTTACTGCCAAAGCTCGCCTTTGAAACATTCGCTCTACAATGAAATCATTACCACGCTCAGCAGGAAGTTAGCAGCCTGTTCAGCAGTCTGTTCAAAAGTTATTACAGTTTATTTTTGGTGAAATATGAATCGTGTCATTCTTTGTAGAACTGTGTTGGGGCATATTTCTAGAGGACGCAGTCTTCCAGTCTTCTGCTGACCTTGCTCTTGGGCGCTCTTCGGGGACATCTAGTCTCTCATTTTTGTAGTTAACCAACCTATCATCTCCATAACCGAAAATCACTCGATTCTTCTGCCTGAAATATTCTGCGAGTTCGAGCATCGAAAGTTCTTTACCTTTTTTCCTTTCGGGTGTCTTGGGCAGATGACTAGACATTGTCACTCACTAAGCAAACGCTCCAACAAAGGGTACACCAGCACCAGCACACAGCCGAAATTTATAGTTTGTTGGTATATTGTAATAAAACACATTTTTTCCTCAGGAATCTTGTGCGCTTTAGAATCAAAATAAATTATCTCTGATTAATTCCTAATTATCATTTTGTTCTTCTTTATTTTCATACGACAACGTAGCTGCAATTAGGTGTGCATCAGATATGGTTAATTAATTAATAGTTGATATTTTCAAACTTACGTAATGTTTTTTGTTTTTTGGGGTTTTTTTTCTTTTTTTTTTTTTGGAATTAGCAGTTTATTTATCGAGATTATTGCTATCGTCAAACACTAGTTGCTATTTTGAAACTTATATGATACTTTTAAGAAAGAGCAGTTAATTTTTCAAGGGATTATTGCTATCGTCGATTATGTAACGTTTTGTATTGAAAATCAAATCTCGTGCAGTTTGAAATGAAATACCACTAGTTCAGTTTAAAATTAAGAATTTCAAATTGCACTTGCTTTAAATTGCAATCCTTTTTTTTTCAAACTGCACTCGGACCCATTGGATTTTCTTTTAAGAATAGAACATCAAAAATTATTTGATCAAAAACATTTTTTTTCCTTTTGTACAGTGATTTGTGATTTCAAAAAAAAATCAATAAGTAGCATACCAATCACTATTAATAATTTTTGATAAGAAAAAGTAGTATATTTTTCAAGAACATCTTGCCAACATACGACTAAAGTTTAACCATATTTGGTATGGGAGTGTCCTATTTTCTCTCGTTGCCTTTTTAAGTATGCGCACTTATATTAAGACAGTCTCTGTTAGAGAATATTTTCCAAAAGTTTATCCATATTTGGTATGGGAGTGTTCTACGTTCTCTCTCGTTGCCTTTTTAAGTATGCGCACTTATATTAAGACAGTCTCTGTTAGAGAAAATTTTCCAAACTTTTAGCCATATTTGGTATGGGAGTGTCTTATTTTCTCTCGTTGCCTTTTTAAGTATGCGCACTTATATTAAGACAGTCTCTGTTAGAGAATATTTTCCAAAAGTTTATTCATATTTGGTATGGGAGTGTTCTACGTTCTCTCTCGTCGCCTTTTTAAGTATGCGCACTTATATTAAGACAGTCTCTGTAAGAGACAATTTTCCAAATGTCTATCCATATTTGGTATGGGAATGTCCTATTTTCTCTCTTGCCTTTTCAAGCATACGTAGTTTTTTTAAGACAGTCTCTGTTAGAGACAATTTTCCAATTTTTTTGCCATATTTGGTATGGGAGTGTCCCGTTTTCTCTTTTACCTCTTCAAGCAATACCTCTTCAATCCTGCGCAGTTAAGCTAGTTAAGCTTGTGTAGAGAAAATTCCCCAAAAATTTTGTGCTTTTTTCTGCCACCTTTGTCACACGGCAAAAAACAGACAAGACTTCAAAAGCTTTTTTACATACATCCATTGGGTCCAAGAACATTTAAAAAAAAGTCATAGACCTTTTGAATCATGTTTTCCCGAATTTTTGCCTGCGCCAACAGAACGTTCGTCGGAAAGAATAGCGGGCATTTTGAACATTTCCAGTCTTAAATTCTCTTGTTCAAGAGTATTGTGGATGTATTTGATTGAGTAAAAGTTATATCTGATTGCTTTATATAACAACCAATGTCTATTGTCAGTAGTTGTTACTCTTGAAAGAGCTGTAACAAAATTTGTAAGATTTTGCCAAAATATTTTAAAATAATGYATTTTCATATTCTCTGTTGCTCTTGATTTATTATAGAATCAGTAATATATATAATAGCGTACTAGAGAAATATTGTCATAGAAAACCCGTTAAGCTAGAAAATACTAAAACCACGCCATTTCTTTRAATTACTGGGGAGGATGTGCGAAATTTAGACTTTTTTTCGAAAGTATTAACATTTGGGAAGCTGAAGTCGTTCATTCTTTACTTTACCGTTGGCGTTCGTGAATTTGACACTAAAATGAGGCATAACACAAGGTAAAGGAGTCTTTTAATTAGGACTTTGTTCATTCAAATAATATACAATTACGTACAAGATTAGATATTGCAAGAATTCAACAATTATTCGCCGAAGGTTATCGGTGGAATATTCACCATAATCACTGAAACATCGAAATATTTTTACCGGGTTACCTGTGATAAAGCGTTTACATTAAAATACCTTTCTTTTTAGTATAATTTTAGACTTGAATATCAGAGAAAAGTCGAAATTCAGGGTTAAAAACGTTTTAGTATTACTTTTACTCTGACAAACTTTGGAAATCCTAATCATCAGTGGAGCAGTGAATACTGTCGGCGAATATATTGTAAATATATATCAACCAATCACAGCGCGAGAAACTCTATATTGAAGTCTAAAGTTATACTAAAATAGTTAATTTATAACAAATGCAATTTGGATATATAACATCAATTAATTCATTAAAAAATGAATAACGTTATTGGTTACCTAGAATAACTAATCTTATTCTTGTCGATCAAAAAATAGGGATATTTGAAAAAAAATTATTCAACGAGTTTTTTCTTAACTAAAAAGCTATAATCAAGATAGGAAACATAAAAAATGAAATAAAGAAAAAATTAAAGAAAACGATGAATAATATATATTGTAAATAGTAATGAAAGCATCTGAAGAAGTTTATATTTTCAACCATGAATATGTTGATATACAGTCATGAAAGCATAGTTAACTATGATGAAAGTCAATGGGTATCTGATCCTTTATTAAAAGCACTTTTCACAAAGCAATCTCCACTCAAAAAATAGGAAACAAAAAAWAAAATCATAAATTTTAAATATCATTTGCCAGGGAAAACGTTTAACATAGAGAAAAGGCAGTTCTAACAGCCGAAAAATCCGGGTCAATCTTTCATTGAAAGCTCTTTATCATCGTCAACTTTCTCATGAAATAAGATTCTACTAACTGACTATATATTACAAAAGATTTCAATTTTTGTAAAACAAAAATTAGCTATTGTTGTTCTCCTATCCGTTTCATCATGACACGAAATCGCATCATCTCCGCCACTGATTCAACAGAGGAATCAAAAACCGCTGTTTTTCTTCTTCTGTCATTCTCGTCAATGCAACCGTCAGCTAGTGCTGCTCTACCATATGGACGCTGCACAGCGCTCTTTGAATTTTCGCTTATCAAAACCGTGGTTGTCAGCCTACGGATGCTATTTCTCATGTTGTTCATGATTCTCTTCTTTGGATCCACAAGCTTTCTTGGCCTGCCAGTCAAGGTTCCATTTTCTGGCTGGTCTTGCCCAGACGTTATCGAGGGGAATCTTGGCCTGCCAGTCAGGGTTCCATTTTCTGGCTGGTCTT